ATGTCCTGTTCGTATATGTGTTAAAATGACTTGTTCCCTTCTACTTATGTTATGATTTTTCTTCTCTTTATACTCCTTTGTACTTGGTGATAATGCCTACCTGAGTCCCATATCTGCCATACAATATTCCATGCATTTAATATGAACTGTTTCCCTTCTATTCTGCCGAGTGCAAGATTTATACTTGGATCATCCATATTTAAGGATTCTTTAGCCATTTTATCTACATCTTCATTACCTTGAATTCCCACATGTGCAGGTACCCATGTAAACTGAGTAATTATCCCTATCTGTTTAATACTATACAGTGTAATCATGATTTCTGTTCAAATGTCTTTTCTATTTGATTGCCATGATTGTAAACTCATAAGAGCTGCCATTGAGTCAGAGCATATTATTACTTTATCTGGTCTTACTTCATATACCCACTCTAATGCTCTACTTCTTCTTCTTCTTCTTCTAGTAACGTTTTATGGCGGATGGCAAACCAACTTCTGGTGCATTTACATATTTATATTTAAAAAAATTAAAAAAAGACTAATTTCTCTTGATTAATCCTATTTCTTTAATGTATTTAATAATAGCACCATATATTTGATCTTGTTCTGCACGCTCTTTCAAAAGGCTTGACAAATTAAATGATTCAACACCCATGTTTCTTACTTCCTTAATGAGTTTTAACCTTTCTTTTTCATATTTTTTTTACATTTTATTAAAACATGCTCTATTGTTTCTGCCTGATTACAAAAAATACATTGACCTGTTTCATGTTTTCCTATATTAAACAGAAAGTGATTTAATCTAGTATGCACTATTCGGATGCGAGAAATGATTGTATCTTCTTTCCTATTCCTAAAAACACTTCTTCCATTTCCTACTTGCTGCTGAATACTATACATTTGTCTGCCCTTGCTATCACAGTTCCATATTCTTGGTCTTTTTTGTTAATGAATTCTTTAATTTTCCCTTTAACCTCATTTTTGCTAAGAGTCACTTGAATATCTATTTCTGAGTGTATAAGAGCTTGCTTAGCAAGCTTATCAACCACTTCATTAGCCTCCACTCCCACATGAGCGGGAACCCACAAAAATGTTATTAAGCTTATATTACTTATTCTTAATAAACTTGCAAGAATCTCATAAATAATGTCTTGCCTTGATGATTTTACTCCACTTGCAAGGCTCAATATTGCTGCATAAGAGTCAGAACTTTTTGTTAATGAATTCTTTAATTTTCCCTTTAACCTCATTTTTGCTAAGAGTCACTTGAATATCTATTTCTGAGTGTTTAAGAGCTTGCTTAGCAATCTTATCAACCACTTCATTAGCCTCTATTTAAGCTGTTATTAAGCTTACATTACTTATTCTTAACAAACTTGCAAGAATCTCATATATAATGTCTTGCCTTGATGATTTTACTCTACTTGCAAGGCTCAACATTGCTGCATAAGAGTCAGAACATATTACTACTAATCTTGGATTTACATCCCCTACCCACTGAAGTGCTACCACCATGGCAATTAATTCTGCTGAATACACGGATACATGATCAGTTATTCTTTTCTTAATACTAGTTTGAAACTTTGGAATAAATTATTCTACTTCTACTTCTTCATCACCAATAACAAGCTCAACTCTCAATAGGTATCGCTTTTTATTTCTCCTCTTTCCTACTACTTGTTTCGCTTCGGTTTCAGTTTTTATAACCATTTCTTACTATGTGTCAGTAAGTTGTTGTTTTTTAGCATGTGTTTGGCAGTGTTATTATTTAGGATTACTGATAAACTACTGTTGTTTGATTTGTATTATTTGTATTTGTTATTTTTTTTTATTTTAGTTACATTATGTCTGAATTTATTATGTCTGTATAGGTCTTTTATTAAGTTTTTAGTTTGATTTAATTTGAGTTATTTTAATACTTCAACAAACTAAACGGAAATGAAATAATATATATATTGAATTTATAAATGTGTATGTATATATACAGTATATATATATATATATGGGTGTATGGTTGTACATACACATATATACTTGTTTTTTTGGTGTTTGACTTAGTGTTGTTAGAATCATTATTATACTCTTATACCTTTTGTTCTTTAATATTTTGAATTGTTTTTAGCTTTATTTATGGTTTTTTTATCTTTATTATTTATGGTTTTTCATTTATATGTTAAGCTTTGAAATTTTGTTGTATGCATTTGTCATCTTTATTTAATCTCTTTATTTTTTAAATGTGTATAGGTAGTATTTATAAAGTTTTAGCTTTTAGTTTTGGATCTGTTTTTAGTTGTTTTAATACTACAATTGCTTTGCTTCTGTTGTCCTCATTTGTAAGTCGCTTTGGATAAAAGCGTCTAATAAATGACTAAATAAATAAATAAAATATAAAATGATTACAATAAAGACTAAATAAATAAAAAATAATTGTTCTTTAATATTTTGAATTGTTTTTAGCTTTATTTATGTTTTTTTTATCTTTATTATTTATGGTTTTTCATTTATATGTTAAGCTTTGAAATTTTGTTGTATGCATTTGTCATCTTTATTTAATCTCTTTATTTTTTAATTGTGTATAGGTAGTATTTATAAAGTTTTAGCTTTTAGTTTTGGATCTGTTTTTAGTTGTTTTAATACTACAATTGCTTTGCTTCTGTTGTCCTCATTTGTAAGTCGCTTTGGATAAAAGCATCTAATAAATGACTAAATAAATAAAAATAAATAAACTCTCAGTTACACAACAACCATAGTGCCACCTGTCAGACAGGAGAATCATTACAAACATATTACAAATACATTAGCGCACATAAGCACAGTGTTTTTACTATATATATATATATATATATATCTATATACTATCTAGTATTGTACTATTCTTACTATATCTGCCATTACAACAGAAGAAGATAGTATGATCATATGTTATTCCAAATTCAGCCAGTATCTGCTTCTAGCTCAAAGTTGCTGCTGTGTGTGTAACATTTAAACACGAACTCACTATAAAACTGCCATTAATAATTTATAACACATATGGGTAGATAATAAATAAAAAAACAAGCACTCGGTGCTAATAAAACAACAGTTGTTACAAACAATTCGTTCTCAACATATTTCCCCCACTCACTAGGCTATAGAATAACTGTGACATTATTATAAAGGCAAACTATGTTTTACGTTTTCATAATAATAGTATAACATATTATACCAATAAATCTATGATAAGAAATTGTAAGGAGGGTGGTCTTAATGCTTTAGATTTTAATATCATTAACCAGACTAGACTTTCAAAATTAACTGGATCAAGAATTGTTTATCTAATAATGAGTTACCCTGGTTTTGGATCCCTAACCTATTCTTCAAACGTTGTGGTGGCCTTACATTTTTATTGTCCTGTAACTTTAAGTGTAGTAAGTTACCTATTAAACTGTCAAATTTTCATCAAATTAAAGAACATTTCAAAATTGCTCATAGATACTACCCTGGTCATTTATTTTTGAGCAGATTTTCTGAGAATATTTCCTCAATGTGTTCATTTTGTAATACTGAAGAAGAATCTATTCTACATACTGTATGTTTTATCATTGCCCATTCACCAAGAATTTTTGGTCAGAAGTTACCTTGTTAATTTTTTCCTGCTGTAACAAAATGATAGAAATAACAGATTCTATTTTTTTTTTTTGTCAGATTTTCATTCCAAGGACATTAATCTGGAACATATTGTTTTATTGCTTTGTCTTCTGGGTAAATTTCACCTTCATAAAGCCAGAACCATTCATTGCAAACCTAACTTTAGAATGTTTTCATCTGATATAAAGTCCCTTTTTACTTCTTTTAAGAATATGTCAAATCCTTTGAACTCAAAGGCTTCTAAAACGTTTAACATTCTTGAGTCTATAAGCTGTCTTTAAAAGACTTTCCTTTTTTCGTCTTCTTCTTTATCATTGGTATATTTTGTTAATTTGTGTAGCTTGTCTAACTTCATGTGATGTCCGTTAGCCCCATGTTATTCCATAACTGTTGTTATTCTTTCAACTGCAATAAAATATTATAAGACTATTAACTTGTCATGATTTTATTAGTTGTCTGAGTTGCAACACAATGTTTTTGGAGCTAACTCATTTTAAACTAACTCAAAAAGTGCACTTAACTTTAAATGCAACACTTTGATTTGACCTTTTTAAACAGCAGTTAATTGTATTGAGTTGTTTTGTTGTTTGTGCACTGAAAACTAAAATGCAGAAGAAACTGAAGCAAAAGATAGCTATACAAAAATGAACACAAATAAAGAAAGCAAAATTGAAATGAACTAAATAAATATTCAGGACAGTTTTCTTGTTCTTTACACACTCCAATGTTTTTCTCTCATCTCAGTATATTGATAATACGAAGGTTTTTCCCTTTCGACCACCAAAATGTGTTAATGTAATATAGCCTAATATTTATTTAGAACATTTAAGTTTTTCCTCGTAATAGAGTAAAACATGCTTCTTTTTTATATATATTATTTTTTTTTACATTTTCTTGAAACACAAGACTGACACATGTACATACCGTGTCTGTAACAATACTTGCTATGTACAGAAAAGAAAAGAAAACAAACAAACACTAGGGCAGGGTTCCTCAAATCTTACCCTGGAGGTCCAATGCGCTGCAGAGTTTAGCTCCAACCCTGATCAAACTCATCTACCTGTGATTTTCTAATGATCCTGAAGACATTGATTAGCTTGCTCAGGTGTGTTTGATTAGGGTTAGAGCTAAACTCTGCAGGAAAGTGGATCTCGTGGGCCAGATTTGAGGATCCCTGCACTAGGGGCTCATATTACATAAAAAGTGAAAACATGCTTTTTTTTTAAAACAAACCCATCTTATATCAGCGTAATGAACACTGCCATCCCTAACTTCGTGAATAGCACATTGTAATTTGACAAGATGTGATTGGAGTGTGTGATGTGATGCTGCCGCCCTCTGTACTGGAGCTGCAGGCAGCGAAACAACCCTGATTCTCCAGAAGGAAGTAACTGCGGTAGAGCTTCGTGTTCAAAACACTGTCAACGGATCAACAACAAAAACAAGCAGCGCGATCTGCTGACCTTTGTCATTGGTAAGCGTATCAAACTACTCGAGTAAAATGCCACACATGCATTGCGCCTTTTATTTATTGTGCCTGTAGATGAAGAGACGGGCGATGCGTTATAAATAGCCATTTGATTCAAAAATGTTTTTTTTCCCCCCAAACATCCAGCATCGTAAATATCCTCTCTTTTTGTCATCGTGTGACATTTGCCTTTTAGCTGCAGGTCGCATTTATAAACGTGCTTTCTTTCGTTTAAAACGTTGAACTGCGTTTCGGTGCAGCCTAATGTTGTTTTTGTGATAAATAAATAAATAAATAAATAAATAAAATCTACCCGCTTATTGGCTGCCGTCGTCACCTTTGTGTATGCCTGTGCTTTAGTGTAGTTACATTGCGACTATATTTAGCTCAGCATGAAGGCATACCGTGAGTTTAAAAGGACACGTACGGTATTATCCGTTATTGTTTAAAAACACTAAAACTCATGAAACTCTAAAACAGACACGCTGTGCGTGTAAATACTGGCCCCCCAAACATCCAGCATCGTAAATATCCTCTCTTTTTGTCATCGTGTGACATTTGCCTTTTAGCTGCAGGTCGCATTTAAAAACGTGCTTTCTTTCGTTTAAAACGTTGAACTGCGTTTCGGTGCAGCCTAATGTTGTTTTTGTGATAAATAAATAAATAAATAAAATCTACCCGCTTATTGGCTGCCGTCGTCACCTTTGTGTATGCCTGTGCTTTAGTGTAGTTACATTGCGACTATATTTAGCTCAGCATGAAGGCATACCGTGAGTTTAAAAGGACACGTACGGTATTATCCGTTATTGTTTAAAAACACTAAAACTCATGAAACTCTAAAACAGACACGCTGTGCGTGTAAATACTGGAAAAGCAGAGCTGCAGAATCTGGGCGAACAGCGCAAATCCAAAACAAACGCGTTGTCATGGCAGCCGTGCATTTGAAATTCAACAACAACTTGTCTGTGACTTGAACAGTGTTGCCAACTTAGCAGTTTTGTTGCTAAATTTAGCAACTTTTCAGACTGCCCTGGCAACGTTTTCTTCCAAAAGCACCTAGCAACAAATTTAGCCGTTTAAAAAAAATTGATTTGGCAACCTTTAGCGACTCTTGATAAGTGACTCGGACAATAAAAAGGCACACATTTTCCATCCAAATGACACAAAAAGAGGAAACCACAGATGCCTAGCAGTACACACAGCACGAGAATTGAGTTAGCTGCTATTTGCAATTGTTCAATTTAATAATAATAATGATAATTGAATAATTGTTCATTTATGATACACTTTGTTAGTAGCTTGTACCTGCGATTGTTGATCAGTTAGTATACTGTAAGAAAAATGGAAAATCTTTCAGGACATCATCCACTGTAACCCGAAAACACAATGCGTAATTTAAAATGCAGGTAAAAACCATTACGGAAAATTCTTTCATATTAACATAGTTGATTGTGCCTTATTTTTACAGACTTTTCTTAGACGTGACTTGTGGCCAAGCATGGTGACCCATACTTGGAATTAGTGCTCTGCATTTAACCCATCCAAAGTGCACACACACACACCGTGAACACACACCCGGAGCATTTATGCTGTGGCGCCCGGGGGGCAGTTGGGGGTTCGGTGCCTTGCTCAAGGGCACCTCAGTTGTGGTATTGAAGGTGGGAGACTGAGCGCTGTACATTCACTCCCCCCACCTACAATCCCTGCCGGTACGAGACTCAAACCCACAACCTTTGGGTTACAAGTCCGACTCTCTAACCATTAGGCCACGACTTCCCCCAGCATACTAACTAACTACTAATACACTGCTTAAAGCATATTAGTTGAGAATGTGTAGAATTACTAGTTTAGTAGCTACTAAAAAAACTTAAAATGAAATCATTAAAAAATGTGTACGTTTTCAATAATTCAGTGTATTTACAAATACAGTTATTTCTATTTTAATATTATATCATGCATATTATTTTACAAACAAATCTAAATTAGCATATATAAAATATATTTTTTGCTGAGATTTGATGATGTGACAATTTTGCGTCGGGATTACGCAATGACGTCACAACGTCATTTAGCAACTTTTAGCAACAAATTGACCATCCTTTAGCAACTTTCTCTGAAAATTAGTTGGCAACACTGGACTTGAAATGAACGGCTGACTCCTGACCCGAGGCTTATTTTAGGACTAGTCGAGTCACGTTAACTGCTGTCACGGCAGGAGCACAGCAAATCGACAATTTTATCTTGAAACATTTTATATGAAACAGCTGTTGTTTTGGGAGATGTAACGTTAATAATCGATTTCATTAGGGGTTTTGATATTCACACTTTTCTGTCAGTGATTGGTTCTTCAATATTAGGTCTAGCGATTATGCAGAAATAACTAACTAACAGAGCGGGGTAGTAACTGATTACATGTAATCTGGATTACTGGATTAGAATAAATTACATTTTAAAATAGCCTACTGGTAATCAGACTACAGTTACTTTTTTTATTGATTACATATTATTCACACATTGGCAATAAATTACTCATAATTTATTGATTCTCCTTAATTCCTCTTTTTCATCTTTTAAATAGCCTACCTTATAGCGCTTATATTCATTCAGAATCGTCACAATAGAAATATAAAGCCATCGCAATTTTCATTTCATGCCAACTGTAATATTTGTGGATTTTAGCGTGATTAAAATGCAGTAGCCAAGTCCAGAAGTGTCCAACTTTTTTGTAACACTTTACAGTAATGTTCCATTAGTTTACTAAATTAGTTATCATGAACTGACAATGAAAAATACTTCTAAACCATTTATTCATTTTATTTATATAAAATGTTTAAAACTTGCTTCAAATCAAAAGTTGTGTCTGGTAATATTAATAAATTGACCTAATATTTAATTAATCAACAATAAACAGTTGAATTCTTTTAACAAAACAAAGATTAATCAGTACACATGCATTTCTCATTATTAATGTTATTTAATGCATTTTATTTAATATCTAATGGGAGCTTATCATAAAGTATTTTTTAAAAAGTTAAGCAAACTGGTAATTATAAACTGGTTAGTTACATAAACAAAAATGTTTGGTCTGTAATACTAATGCAGTCCCATCCACCCACTATGGGTGTTTTATAGTCTCTCTCTCTCTCTCTCTCTCTCTCTCTCTCTCTCTCTCTCACACACTCACTCTAAAAAGAAAAAAATAAACTTTGTCTGGTCTGGAAAGACAAGGTTTTGGAGCAAGATCAATCTTGCTTTGAAGTGTGGTTTGTGAGATGTACTTTGAGTGGACTTCACAGAAGGTTGTGACAGATATCTGTCTGTGCCGGTTTCATTCTGAGGATTAGATTAGATGTAGATCACTCTTCTGCTCATGGAAAGGCACCCACAGACAGAATAAATCACCAGGCCAATCTTTTAGCATTGAAGATCTCTTTACACTTACAGATTCATCTGTCAAGACAAAAGAGGCTCATACATATGCTCAGCGCGCCCCATCCGTTCACACCACTGGAGTTTTCCCATGGTGCTTTTGTGTAAAACAGCAGCATATGGGAGTCAGACAAAGCGTTATTGGATCTGATTTCAAGGACAGACCTTTCCATACCAGTGCTGGTGTTACCTTATTTGTCTAGGCATCATAAAGGGTTAGAAGAATGATTGTTCTGTGACCACAAACTTTCCATGTGACACATGTGCATCATCTCATTTGTCCATTTCTGTCTATTCTTCCACTCTGTTAGTATTTTGGAGTCAGGGGCTGTGGGACACCCCCAGCCCTGACCCACGAGGCCGCAGGTTAAGAGATCCATTCCTGGATGCTGTACATTCATAGCCATCGGGGGACTAGGATCAAAACCCTACAGGAGGCCCACCATCAATGTGCTCCTAGTTGCCCTCCAGATCAAAAGTGAGTCAACAGATTTAACTCTTTTGGCTTTAAACTTGTAACATTGCTTCTTATTATAGAAATCAGTTGCTTTTTAGCATGGAGTATTATTGTTTTGATTATTTAAAACACTTATGAATGTGACAAAAGGGTCAGCGACGTGACACTCAGTTTTTGTCCTATCAATTAATTTATTCAAGTAGTTTTGCATAATCCTTTATTATTATTTCTTAGAAAAATATATTAACAAAAGGGTTTCACTGCTTATTTGTTTTAAAATAAACACTTTTGTTCACAAAATTAAAGTCATCTAGCATTAATAAGCAGAAAAACTGAGTGACTCAGTGTTTAAATTCAACGCACCTGGCGTGAAAGACTTGGGCTTCGTTTTGGATAGTGAACTAAAGATGGACAGGCAAATAAACACAGTGGTGAGATCTTGTTTTTTTTCATTTACGTCTATTAGCGAAGACGAAACCGTTTTTATCTACCACTGATTTGGAGAAAGCCATTACGGCTATCGTTTTCACTCGAATGGACTACTGTAACTCCCTTTATTTTGGAGTTGATTGTGGTGCACTGGGGCGCCTACAGAGAATCCAGAACGCAGCGGTGAGAATGATTAAGTCTGCAAAAAAACATGACTCAGTCACTCCATTACTTGCATCACTAAATTGGCTGCCGGTACGGCTTAAAATAATTTATAGGATTCTTATTTTCGTTTTTATGGCCCTTCACAATTTAGCCCCTGGGTATTTGTCAAGTATGATATCAGTTTATATCCCTACGAGATCTCTGAGGTCCGAAAATCAACACCTCCTTTGTGTAACTAGGACAAAATACAAACACAGGGGAGATAGAGCCTTTTCGCGAGCTGGTCCAAAACTGTGGAATGACCTCCCTCCTAGTATTAGATCCGTTAACTCACTACCGGTTTTCAAAGCTGTGTTAAAAGCACATCTTTTAAAGACTAATGAGGAGTTGTTGTGATGCAGGTTTAGTTATTTTAAATTGTGTCCATGTTGTTATGTGATTTGTGTTGTTATTTGAGACTATGCTTATTTTTATGTAATTTTATTGTGATATTGTGAAGCACTTTGGGCAACCTGGTGTTGCATTAAATTGTGCTATATAAATAAATAAACAAACAAACAAAAAAACAGGAAATTATATCACAGAGAACACTGCCACAGATCCCCATGAGTGTCCAACTCCCCAAAAACATAATAATATTTATGTTATATCTATTATTTTAATAGTTCATATAAAAAAAAAAAACTTTTACCTTGAAAAATATATATTAAAATCCTTTTTGATGATCCTAGAGCCACTATTGATTTGTGTTGTTATTTGAGACTATGCTTATTTTTATGTAATTTTATTGTGATATTGTGAAGCACTTTGGGCAACCTGGTGTTGCATTAAATTGTGCTATATAAATAAATAAACAAACAAACAAAAAAACAGGAAATTATATCATAGAGAACACTGCCACAGATCCCCATGAGTGTCCAACTCCCCAAAAACATAATAATATTTATGTTATATCTATTATTTTAATAGTTCATATAAAAAAAAAAAACTTTTACCTTGAAAAATATATATTAAAATCCTTTTTGATGATCCTAGAGCCACTATTCATGGTGTAAGGAATATGTCTTTCTTTGCTTTTTACTTGACATTTTTTTACCAGATGACTATTTTAGAGTCATTCAATTTAAACTGTTCTTGTGAATAGTAATACATTTTTTTATTTACTATATAACACATTTCTACAACTCTGGAAATGTTTTAAACTAGATTTTTAAAGGAATTAAAAAAAAATCCTGGACAGTCATAAATGTCATTGACCCAAACGTCAGCTCTTTGAAACTTGTTGTACTAACCTTTGCCCCGGCCCAAAATTCCAGACAACTCTCTTCTAATGTTAGCAAACCATTTCTTTCAAGTGCATGCCTTTCCACTCGGTCCACATAACTGATAAACCTGTTTGTTTCACTGAATCTGATACTACATTCACCTTAACACACTCAATCCTGTTTGTGTTTGCTCAGCTGAAGGTGTGAGAGTGTGAGGAGAGGTGAGATGGAGTCAGAGGAGACAGAAGGACGCACTTTAGTGCAGGTAATCAGTGAGAAGTACAGCCCGGAAAACTTCCCATACTGCCGTGGGCCAGGAGTTGGAGTGGTGATCCGGTCGAGTCCCCAGGGTTCACCTGTCAAAGGTCAGTTTTATTTTTGGCATTAGGTGAAATGCTGAGCCTCCTAGTTAACAAGGGTGTGTTAGATACGATCTAGATCTAGATCCTGGCACACTGGTTATTATCATTTAACACTGTTTTGCTGTGTCTGTTGAAGAACACATGTTGATATCATTATATAAATGTATTCTAGGGCCAAAACCTAAAGGATATTCCAAAGATATTAAGTTAAATTATTTTTCATCAATTAATTACATTAACTGGTTATTTAAAGGCAGTTTATGTCTCTGTATTTGTGTGTTAGATCGTCTGAATCTGCCCAGAATCCTGGTTCTGGATAGTTGTGGAATCACAGAGGCCGGAGATGAAGAGGAGGTGGCCACTTTCTGTGCTCACGTGGTTGAGTTAGACCTCTCTCACAACCAGTTAAAAGACTGGGGAGAGGTGATAAAAATGTGTTCGAGTCACAGGTTTTGTCTCGGTGTATTTACATTTGTGTATTTAACGCAAAAATGTCATTTCACATTAAGATATATAGGTAACGCTTACTGAACGATTCAATAATATTCAGTTCATTTACAGTGATTAATGCATTAGGTATCATAAGCTAACAATGAACAACAAATTTAATGTTAATTTATTCAACTTAAAAAAAAAGTGTTAGTATTTGTAGAAATTCAAATTAATTTAGTAAGTTTAATAAATGCTGTAAAAGTATTATTGCGTTAAATCATGGTTAACATATAGAACCGTATTAAAGGGGTCATATGATGCGATTTCAATTTTTCCTTTCTCTTTGGAGTGTTACAAGCTCTTGGTGCATAAAGAAGATCTGTAAAGTTGCAAAGACTAAAGTCTCAAATCCAAAGAGATATTCTTTATTCTTTATATATTTCGTTTTATAAAATGGCTCATTCTAACACGCCCAAATGTTCACGCAAAGAAAGAAGGTGTAACTTTTATTCTCGCTGTAGTATTGTTGCTGCCGCCATGTCGTGAAGGCGCTGTGTGTTTCATTGTGAAAGCGATACTACTTTGTTTGGCCTTCCAAAAGAGGACGATATCCGCTTTGTCATGCCTGGAGCTGATCCGTGCTGGTCGCTGAGGAAATAAATCAACTTCGCTTGAAATCAACATCAGCTTTCACCGTGGACGAAGCGGAGTCCAGCCCGGGGTCGTCACATGTGGTTGCCGCAAGCCCGCCGGCCCCGCCGGGCATGAAGTTGCAAAGACTAAAGTCTCAAATCCAAAGAGATATTCTTTATTCTTTATATATTTCGTTTTATAAAATGGCTCATTCTAACACGCCCAAATGTTCACGCAAAGAAAGAAGGTGTAACTTTTATTCTCGCTGTAGTATTGTTGCTGCCGCCATGTCGTGAAGGCGCTGTGTGTTTCATTGTGAAAGCGATACTAATTTTTTTTGTCCTTCCAAAAGAGGACGATATCCGCTTTGTCATGCCTGGAGCTGATCCGTGCTGGTCGCTGAGGAAATAAATCAACTTCGCTTGAAATCAACATCAGCTTTCACCGTGGACGAAGCGGAGTCCAGCCCGGGGTCGTCACATGTGGTTGCCGCAAGCCCGCCGGCCGTGCCATTCTCAAGCCACCCGCCTCCGCTCACTCAAGCCCGCCCGCTGTTCCTCACTCTAGCCCCCGGCCTCCGCTCACTCTAGCCCGCCATGTGTTTCGTTGCGAAAGCGAAACGACTTTGTTTGGTCTTCCAAAAGAGGACACGACTAGAAATCAGTGGTTAAGCTTTTCTCTCCTTTCCTCTTCTCTTTGTAGATAAGTAAGATCCTGTCTAACATCCCTAACCTAGACTTTCTCAATCTGAGTATGAATCCACTGAGAGGGTCAAGCCTTGAGCCTGGAGCTGCTGAAGCGTTCTCAGGCCTCCGCCGCCTTGTGCTCAATAACACGCATGTCACCTGGGACATGGTGCACACACTTACACGAGAGATCCTAGAGTAAGTGTGTGTGTGTTTTATAGCATTTAAGTAGCCTCGGTCTGAACCCCCGCAGATTTTTTAGAGCTTTTTTTGTGTGTTTGTCTTATGTTTTTTTAATTATTTATTTATGATTTAAGTGTGCAGTGTCTCTGCATTGCAAAAGTTATTTTTTCCAAGCATTCATTGTTCGAACAAACAGGTTCTGCCACTGTAAACTTACACTGGTCGTTCAGCCTGAAGTCAATATGTCAGGCCCAAGGGGTCAAGGTTTAGTTCAAGGTTAAGATAATTTTAGACCCTGCTGTGTAGATTACTTAACTACACAATTCTTGGAGCAAAATAAGTTGACATTTTCAAGCAGCCATATATAATGACAAAATACAACTTCGCAAGCAACATATTACTAGAGAAGATGTTTTGCCAATTTTGGTGGGCTCTTAAACTAAAACTTTTTAAACTATGCCAAACATTGAAGCAGTTTTGTTAAAATATTTTTTCCCAAGAAATCAAAGATTATGCCAAAGTAACATTTTTATGTATTTTAATGCACTTTTTTTCCTAAAATGGAGGTATTATTTTAGCTCTCGCATGACCTTATAGTTGTGAAAATGGTATTTTTGTCACGCACTAAAACTTGGTGTTTTCGTGTGGTTCTATGTATGTAGGCTGGAGGAATTGTTTTTGTGTCTGAACGAGTATGAGAGCGTGAGTGTATCATCTATACCGTGCCCGTCCCTGCGCCTGCTGCATATCACAGATAACCAGCTGCAGAATTGGGCGGAGGTTCGTAAGTTGGGCCTTATATATCCAGGCCTGGTGTCTCTTATTCTGGCAAACAACTCCCTCTCGTCTATCCACGAGCCTGAGGACTCTCTACTGAGACTCTTCCCCAACCTGCGCAGCATCAACCTACACAACTCAGGTGCTGGATTGCATGAACTTCATCTCTGTAGAGTCAGACAGAATATCAGCGCGCACACACACACACACACACACACACACGTGTCTAGGTAGTTGCAGCATTACCCTTCATAATCTGTTCATTTATAATTTAAACAAAATTGAGTAGTTTTGTATGAGGAACAGACCAAAATTGAAGCAGTTCTTCACTGAAAATCTTCCCTTCCACTGCAGCTTTCAAATGTTCTTTTTCTATTATTCAGTAGGTCATCTCCTTTCTGTGATTCTGAGTTGTAAATTAAGTACATCTCTTGAACAATCATGGGTTAGTTTACCCCAAAAATACATTTCTCACCCTCATGTTGTTCCAAACCTTAAGATATTTGTTCATCTTGGAAACACAAATTATATTTTTAATGAAACTTGAAAGATATCTGTCCCTCCGTTGAAGGTCTATCCCATTAATACTATGATGCTTCAAAAACTTTCTAAAACATAGAAAACGTAATCCATATGAATCCACTTGAATGGTTAATCCAAGTCTTCTGAAAAGACACAATTGCTTTATGTGATGAACAGATTTAATTTGGACTTTTATTCACATTTAAACACTGATCAACGCACACATCTAATATGGTAAAGGGAAGCCCAAATTTGCTTGCTTGATGTGTTTTGAACAAAAATTCATTAAAATGTCTTCATTTGTGTTTCGAAGATGAAGCAAAGTCTAGTGTGTTTGGAACAACATGTGGGTAAGTAATTGAAAATTGACAGAATTCATTTTTAGGTAAACTACACCTTTAATGGATTATTAGCTAATATGTACGTGTTGTGTTATTTTAGGTCTATGTTGCTGGGAGGACATTGAGAAACTGAATTTCTTCCCAAAGCTTCAAGAGGTCAGAGTGATGGGTATTCCTTTACTGCAGCCCTACACCGATCAGGAGAGACGTTATCTTATGGTAGCACAGTGAGTAATCATACACAAAAGTAGCCACTTTTGAAATTGTTAGAAATGATTACACAAATCAATGTGGTCACCGATATGGAGTTGTACACGTCCATGTATTCCGTGTCTCTTTCTGTTTCCCTCGTTCACACACAATTGTTCTTCTTCTGTGTTTTGTAAGGTTGCCTCATGTGACTGTATTGAACGGCAGTGTTGTCACTAATGGAGAAAGAGAGGATGCAGAACGCTTTTTCATCCGCTACCACCTGGACTGCCCTGAGGATGAGCTACCCCAGAGGTGACCCGCCTGCACCCCTCACGCCACCACACTCCATATACACAACTCTCTCAATCTTTATAGACATATAAAGTACAGGAAATATACAGTACAGTACAGAAAATACATATACTATTACTATATACAGTACAGAAAATGATTGGTGTCTATGTCATGAAAATATTCAATTTAATCAGCCTATAATATCGCTATTATAATTGAAACAATATGCTTCTTTGGTTACACTTTATTTTAAGGTGTCCTTGTTACAGTGTAATTATACATTTAAGTACTGAGTAATATTAATTAACTACATGTACTTACTATATGTTAGGGTTAGGATTAGGGTTTGGCTTAGGGTTACTTGCATGTAATTATGCATAATTAATTGTTATTATAATAGTAAGTACATGTAACATGTGTAACAAGGACGCCTTAAAATAAAGTGTTACCCCTTTTTTATTTTTATATCTCGGGTTACCCATAACTAATGTTACCCATTTTCCTCAAAGTTTGAAAGTTGATAGCTCTTTGGTTTCTCTCTGCAGTTTTAGTTATTCTGAATTAGTACCCCTAAGTAGATACTTCTTTATTGAACACTAAGAGGCTGTCTGTTAATTATTTACAGCATATATGGATATCCATAAAATAAGTCTATATAGAAACATACAGAGGGACTTTAAAGGGTTTAAAGTTGCAATGAAACTGGAGTAGGGACAAATCTTTTTTTTTTTCTGTGTTGTGAAGTTCATCTTAGTAAAACTGATTATTGAAAAGGAAAATAATGCAGTGCAGGAGCTTGTTTCTATGCATCGGTTGTTAATTTGGATGGAGGCAGATCCGAATTTGAACTTACAGTCGATTGTAAGAAAGAGGCAGGATTTAATCAGATGAAATTATTGGAGTCTAGCATAGGTCAGTGGACAGAATTCTGTCATTTCAATGGAAGATCAAGTTATGAGATTTGGATTAAGAATTATGAGGACAAAAAAATTTAACAATATGGACAAATGAGTTCACAATTAGATCAATAATATGCACTCAGAAAATAGAGATGAATTTTCATTTCATGCTGACTTTAATGAGCACCAGTTTGTTTTCGTATACAAATAAACATTGTCAGTTTTGAATAATGCACTGAAAAGTGTTTTGCTCTAATTTAGGTTACATCCTCTAACAGTCGTTCCACAGACATTAAAGGTTAGTTTAGCCCTTGCAGTTTTTATTGTCAGTATTGCTTGTTTCTCAGTAGCTTACTATAGAATGTGGTTACTCTAGTTGGAACAAAATTTTGCTGCTATGTAATAAAATCTTGGGAGAGCCCAGCCACCTCTTTCCGGTTTAGCACAAATAGCCTTTCTGTCTTTCTCTCTCTCTCTCTAAGTGGATTGGGACCAGGGGTTGTCAAACACTGTACAAATATCATAAAAGTTATAAAAGTTGTCCATACAACTAGTGCACTATATTCCAAGTCTTCTGAAGTGAGTGAGGAACACACTGAAATGTATGCGGTTATTTATTGGAAATCTGACTAAAATTTTGATTGATAGCTGTGGTCACCATTCACTTTCATTGTTTGAAAGAAGAAAGAAAATCAAATGGGTTTCAAAGACATGAGAAAGTTTTCATGACTGGGTGAACCATTCCTTAACAACTCACTTTTTCATTTATTTCTTCTTGTGCCCACCGGGACCACTTCTTTAGAGTCTTTCTTTTCATCACCTATGTAAACTAAAACCCGGGTACACTGCCCCTCATTTCTGACCTCCTCACTCCATCCACAACCTCGATTTATTTTTTCTCTGTCTGTTTCTGGAGGAAAAGCCATTTCCCAGAGGGAAGAGTTTGAGATGAGAGTTGGCACTGGAGGGTGAAAGGGCAGGTGTAGAAGTAGATGGTAAACTCTAGATATGGGTTAAGGTTACCCCCTTTTTGAACCCAGCCTGCTCTTTCCCCCACCCTTTGAGCGCAGATCAGAGCTTAGGCTTTGTTACCGACTCTGTGATAAAACTCTGAAAGAGGGCAAAGATCTGAGAAAGAGATGGACAGAAAGAAATGATGCTTCCTTGACCTCAAACACACCTTTGGACCGGGCCATCTTTGAATGCATGAGACGTAACTGGTATAGAGACCCATTCAGCCTAATTTATGAGACTCAAACTGTAGTGGCATAAAGTAATGGATAGAACCATTTGAGAGACTTTCAAAGTGATTCCACAGTAACCTTAGTCGCATTTACGGTTGCTTAGACATAAACTTTAGGTATAAGTAGGCATGGGACTGTTATCTTTATAAAGCTGAGAAGATATAGAGATTTGAGTGCTGGCTAGTGTAATTCAAACCTTTCACTGCTTGATTGCTCACAACGATTTCCCAGATCAGGCCTATATATGTTGTTTAGCATATACCTATGAAAATCCTTCTAAAACTACTTTGTGCACTAAAATAGCATTGGAAATAGTCTGGAATATCCTTCCATAGTACTGTCCTGTTAAAAAAAGTGTTAAATATTTTAGCTTTAGTTTAGTTGTTCCAATGCTGCAAACAAATTGGTCCCAGTCACCATCCACTGGTCAGCTGTGAGGTACATTTGTTACATAGCTTATGTGGGTAGGAGGGAGACCGTTAAATAGGTGAAGGAGCCCTATACATTCATCAGCCTTTGAGTAACTAAAACCTGAGTCGCGGCCATGGGCACATTGATCCTCCCTGGGAGGAATGGGAAACACAGGAATGAGACCAGAGGGGAGGGATGCAAAGACAGAGATGACAGGAGGAGAGGATGAAGAAAATGAAAGGGGCTATTGGTCTTACTGTCTTTGAGTAACTATAGCCTGGGACCTTGTTGACATTTTGACAGTGAAAGACAACATAGGGGCCTAGAGGAGAACAACGAGAAGGTAAATGTATAGGGAAAGTCTAAGTGCATCACTCTTTACGGACAATGAGAAATTTAAGAAGATAAGTGGATTGCATAACCAGGCTCTTTAGCATCCATCATGGGCGATGTCGATGCTAAAGATGTCAAGATAGAAGCATTCATAGACAACATGTAGACAAGTCCCCATTAAAGCATTTACTGCCGTTTTAATTAATTTAGGGTTATAGTGGCGACTACATTGAGGTTGTGATGATAGCTTGAGGTGCAGTACCTGGGTTAATAACGATTTCTTCAAACATGCAGCAAATTTATCTAACTCAAGCATTTCTTTTTTTTGTAGTCTGAACAGGACTGAAACACAAATGAAATCAGACTTAAATGTGTTTCAGTCTAAGCAATCAGATCAAATTCCAAGTACTTTTTATTGTCAATCAGGACACGTAACATCATACAGGATGTGAGGTAGTGTCTAAAGCTATGTCTGAATTCATTTTAATTCATTTTGTCAATAGTAAATTAGAGCTGTTTTCAGGGGGGACCACCGGCAACATTGTCTCAAACCCACTAATGTCCTCAATAATAAAGCTAACTCATTGGGTCCCATCCATAAAATATTAAGTATAGTGAATATTTTGGACAAAAATTGCTTCTGTTGTCTGTTATCTTGTCTTGTGTGACTCTCAGTTGTTTGAAAAGAAAACAATACTCTTGGTCTCATGCAACCACCTACATCATTGCTATAGCAACCCATGTAGCTATACTAGTTATTGCCTACACTGTGTCAAGAAACAGATACGATTTCAACTGATGCAAAATGACTGTCAGTCCTAAAGTTTGTAAAGCACAAACGGCAGCTGTGTGGAGTGTGAACAAAGCCTAAGGAACTGTATCTCCACTGTACTTTCAAATAGACAGGTTCCCCACCCCCAAGTTCATCCAGGGTGACTGCCACTGTAATATGTGTACTAAACTTGCTTTGGATAAAAAGCCAAATTGCTAACATGTAAATCACAAGTGAATTTAATTGGGTCTCAAGGGGACATTTCTCATGTTATGTTGTAGGTATCTAAATTTTGAGCTAATGGTGATTGTGTGCATGTTATCTACCTGAAAACGGATCATGTTGTTTTTGAGGCCATCAACAACTGCAGTATCTACAGTAGACTCACTGTATGGCTCTACTATGAACCTGGTGCACTGCATGGTGGCGACTGTCCGGTCCCATCTCTGAGACTGATCTAAGCACTGTTCAAGGAATCCAAGGCAGCTATGTTATCACAGCGAACACCCATTCGCCTTCAATTAAGGAGCTTAGCCACACTAAATGAGACCCTTGAGTGAGACTGTTCTTTCTCAGACAGAGTGGCACTTTGTATAGAGGGGGCAGTATTCCCATGGCGAAGGCAGGGAGCCACAGGCACCTACCCAGGCTCAGGCTCTGCTTTGTGGGGAGACTTTTCTGGACAGGCTGGGGAAATTACTTTGATTGGCTGTGTCGGTTACTGTAGCCCTCTAAAGCTAAAAGACTTTTTTTGTGGAGATTTTATTTAATTGTTCCTGCCGATCTCCTCTTATCTTTCCCACAATCCTTCAGCAAGATGGGAAAGAAGGGAGGGTAAACGGGGTGGTGGTGAGAACTTTCTCACGGTTTAAAAACTCAGTGTGCTTCACAGACACACAAACAGGTACTCAAATACAACACCGCATTTTCTCACAAACACACACAACTCTGGTCGCTTCCATGGTGCACTGATATTAGTATTGTTTAGAGGAGCTGTCTTTTTTTAATGTTTGAGAGTGATTGACAATTTTGATGAAAACAGACATATGCAGACCTCCCACCATGCAAAAAAACATTTCTGCTGAGGTGTAAAATTCCTCGCGGAGGAACATTATTCTGGTAATTATGTGATTTGGGCTTCGACTTAGCTCTTCAGCATGGCTGAATATGAAAGTTTGAGGCATACCGGTGTAACCATGGATACGGGCAATCTTTTTGTAATAATAATAATAATAATAATTTATGCATTTAGCAGACGCTTTTATCCAAAGCGACTTACAGTGCATTCAGGCTATACATTTTTTACCAGTATGTAAGTTTTGTAAGAGCAAATGTCATTAGCAATGTCAAAACTCGCCC